CACCTGCCACAATGGCCCAGAAGCGCCGAGACCCCGGGCCAGGCCAGCCCGCCGGCGGTCCAAGGCCCAAACCAGGAGGAAGGATGATAGCTGGAGCCTTTCTCCCTTCTTCCCGTCCGAGCCAAGCAGTGACCCTCAGTTTGCCAGAAGCGGTTCTACTCGCCTCTGCCCCCCCAACACAGCAGACCCAACACTGCACACACACACAACACAGGAAACGCACACACAGGGACCCACGCACGCAGAACAGTGAATACACGCACACCACCCAAAGCCCGCACACGATACACTAAGCACAGTGTGTGTTGAATACAACACAGTAAACACAGACACACAGGAGACTAAACACACCACAAAGTACATACACTCCCATCGCACAGCAAACACATGCACACAATAGTAACACAACACATTGAATTCGCATGCACAAAACAGGCGCACACTAAACACACAACAACACATCTGCACACTAGACACAGCATCAACGCCACTTTCAAAAATACACAGGGCGGAACAGCTTCCCCTTCTCAACATTTTCAAACTCAAAAGCGAGGGCGGGAGTGGGACTGGGAGATGGAATTTTCTGACATCTAAACCTCCAAGGCTGTGCTCTTCCACCCCTACCCCGAGAAAGCACGTAGTGGCCTGGGGTACCCCTTAGGATTTGCTTTACCGGACCACGTGTGGGAGTCGCCCCCACTCTTTTCCTGCATGGCTCCAGGGCTTTCTGGACGTAATGACCAGGTTGGCATGGGCCTATGAAGGCACTCATTTTCCTTTTTGTCGGGCAAAGCATTTGCAAAGAATGCCTCCCAGGCATAGTGGTAAGAAAGGGCCAAGAGCAAGATGGCTGTGCTGGTCACATCCCGAGCTGGCCGAGCCCCAAAGTGGGCGCCCTGAGGCAGCCTCCCAGCCTGGCCGCCAGCTCTGTGTAGGAATCGGAACATCTGATCAAGTTCAGAGGCGCTGGGAGAGACGGCCTCAAGGAGCGCTTTCTAACTGCAGCCTTTCCCTTGCTGCTCCCCAATCGGCCCGGCCAAGACCTCACCTTCTTTCTTTGCTAGTTTGCTGGGGAAACCCTGCCCGTAGCATATCTTACCCCGTCTTACCCCCCACCCCCCACCCCCAGTCAAACTCGCCCCAGTTCTCCCTGCACATCCAGAGCTCTGTCCCCAGGTTGGAAGGTGAGTTCACTGGTGCCTTAAATTATTGCATCGACCGAAAATAAGCTCGGGCAGCATGGTTTTGGGGTCGCTCAGTGGAGGGTTTCTAGGCGGGAGGGGGCAACTTCAGGGAAGAACAAACCGGCCTAAACCACGCACATGATTTCCCTGGAGTCAGGTTTCCCCAAAGGGAGGCCTGCTTGGCCTTCTCCGTCCCCTTCCTGCCTTCCCTCTAGCTCCCCTGCCTTCCACCAAGTCCCACCTCCCCTGGGTGCAGAGTTGGGTGGAGAAAGTTTGGGTGTCCTCGCCTCATCGGTCCCAGGGAGAGGGTTCTCGACGCTGGGGGTGAGGAGGGGCGGCCGGTCGAGCTCGGGCTGGCCGGCGCGGACGCATGGGTTTCCGGAGAGCCCCACCGGGGACCCCGAGAACCGCAGCCCATGCGAGACTGAGAGAAGGGGCCGGCCGCCAGGCGAAGGACTGCGGAACGGGGGCGGCCGAGAGAGCCCAGCGTGCCCTTTCTTGGGGAGGGGTCCCGAGCGCCAGGCCGGGGGTCGCTGCCGCGGCTGACCTACCGGGTACCCGGTGTCCGTTTTGATAGGGTCACATTCCGATAATTAATTGCCTCCAGCACGGGCTCTGCAGTCCTGGAACAAAAAGGCATAATTCAATTAGATCATCAACACGGAAGCGGGGAGGGGATGCTCGTTAAGGGGACGACCTGAGGCGGTTCAGCCAGGCCAAAAGCCCGGGCCTGGAGCCCTTCTCGTGACGGCCCGGCCCGGCCGCTCCGAGGGGTGCAGCTGCTCCGTGGGGCGCAGGGGTCCCAGGTGCCGCGCAGAGGAGGAGACGGGGGCTCCGGGAACTGCAGGGCAGGGCAGAGGCAGGCCATGCGGAATGCTTTTTCAGCTGCTTCGAGTGGAAGTTTCCTTTTTTGGGGAGGGAGAACCCCGACCCTTGAAAGATGTTCGCAAACGAAAACCTGTCCAGATGCCACAGGTTACTATTTCTGAAAACAAACCCACCCCCACAGTCACCCCAAAAAACCCACTCCTGTTAGAGGGGAAAAAAAAATCAAGTTTTCCTGATGACGTGCAGCTCCCCCCAACACACACACACACACACACACACACACTATGTTTTCCGAGGAGACTCTAGGAACAACTTTGGGGGACAGGGGGCTTTGGGGAGCTGTGCCTGAGAGCAGAGTGGTGGCCGGCGCAGGAAAAGGAACAGGAGAAAAGTTGGCCTTTGCACAGGCTGCGGGGAGGCCGATGCCAGGGCGGCGGTTTTTCGTTTCTCAGGTGGAGAGAGAACCCACTGGCTGGGCTGTGCAGGGCGTAGCAGCTGAGAGCCCGGGGTCGTCGTTCTTGTTTTCCGCTGTAGCCGACACTCCCTCGGCAGCTTTGGCTTACTGGGGTTTACATGTGTATTAGGCGGCGTAAATTAACCAATAAATCTCTTTTATGCATCCCCCCAGTTGTATGAGTTCTGGTCTAAATACCCACATGTCTATACGGATAGGACAGATAATGGAATCCTGTCCCTCACACTGAGTCCAAACAGTACAGTGAAAAAGGCTTTCTTTTCATGCCCCAACCTGAAACGATAAATACAATCAGATAAACTGATCGTCGCCAAACGGGCAAAGCTGGTGAGGCGGACTTTTAGGACCCCCATCCTGGAGAAGCAGGACAGAGACAGACTGTCCTGAGGGTCGCTGGGTAAGGGCCGGCTTCCCTCTGTAACCCCCACTGGAGAGCACTTTTCCGTTGGCGGCAGCTTCCTCAGACACCAAACCTGTACAGCACAGTGTGCACTCCTGCAGGAATTCTTTCCAAACACATTTTCTGTGGCGGACGTGAAATTATCCTAAGTTGGAGACCTAGCAATTTTCTTTAAGTCCAAGGGAAACACTGCGGTCTTCTGTTTTGTATTTAGAAAAGAGTTGCAATCTAACACTCGCAACGTTTTAAAGACCCTTTAAACCCAGCAAGCGGATTTCCGTTCTGCCAATGCTTCCTGATTTATTTCAATAAATGAATCTTTGAATCCAGGAAGGGAATTATTCCAAGACGCTGAAGTTGGTGCCCCTGCCTCTCCCCTCATGGAGGCTGAAGTGTTTCTCCTTGAAAGGTATCCTTGAAATTCACCTTTATTTGCTGCTGTGTTTTTTTTTCCTGGTTACCGACACTCTCCTCACTCTAAACCCCTATCTTCCCATCAGACTCCCACATGTTTTTGAAAGAAAGACTGCAAATTGCAAAAAGAAGAAGAAGAAAAAAAAAAAACAGGAGAGGAATGCGTTTTTAACTCCTTTTTCTGTTTTTTATTCTAAGATAAAGCTCTTAATTGGCTTCAGGGACCAAGCTGAAATACGGCTCTCCGGGATCTGCAGACGCACTGGCCAACCGCTCCCTGGGCTCCAGATTTTATTGGCCACATTAGAGTTTTCACTACCGTCCCAACATTTGACAAATATTTTATAAGTCCAAAATACCTTTCAAATTCAAAACAGAATGAATAGATACTGTTAAGCAATCTGTTTTTGGGGAAAAAAAATCTTTTGCCTTTGTCCTCCGTGGTCCGAGGCACATCACTACCTAATGGAATGAAATGCAAACCAGGCGGGAAGGAGACATTTTCATTGTACTTGTCAATCAAACTGTGCAGACAGATATATATATATATATATACTTGAACTTCAGAGACGCAAGCAGAAGTAAACAG